AGGGCTGTGAAGAGGCGGCAGTACTGGAGCAGGTGGCTGAAGCTGTGGGAAGGTCCTGGAGCCCTGAGGCTCAGCAGTGATGGCCTTCCCTCCACGACGAGCTGGGGGCTTGGAGGGATCTAGAGGTCTTGAGAAGGAGAATTCCACACGGGGCCCTTAGAGATATGACTGATCCCTTACTGGAGTCTGAGAACTAGGCTCCTGAGATGCCCCTTCTAGGGTCAAAAATGCCATCTGCAGACCTAGAAGCCCCCAAACACCGTGTGTGGACAGGACTAGCCCTGCTAGCAACTGGAGAGAGACTCCTGGGACTGGGTCTCATTTGGACGTTAACTAGCGGGAAGGAGCGCAAGAGGGGGCTGGCCTCTGGACCCCCAGGCTTTGCTTGACTGCTCTGATTGGAGCCCTGTTCATCCCTTGCTCACCTCTCCACTCACGTAAGCATTTATTCTTTCACTTCAACCCACAGAGGACTTGTGTGCTTACAGGAAGAATACCAAAACATTTAGAGTGAAATAGAAGCACAACCAAAGGTATAGAGAGGCAGCAGGCATTTTTCTTTAATAAAATATCTCTGCTGTACTTTTCTGATTACAAAAGCAATGCATGTACATTATAGAAAATTTAGAAAATACACACAAGAAAAAAAATTCAAGATGAGTACTTAATGATTCCACCATGTAGAGAAAACCACTGTTAATACCTTATTTATTTTTATTCCTTCTGTTCAAAATGTAAATATTTTAATATCTTATAAAAGTATGGTTATAAATTCCATGTTGTTTTCTAAACTGCTTTTTTTACTCGATAATAAATATTTTCTGAATATCATGCAAAGTTAATACATTCCTATCATTCTAAATGAATAAAATTCCATTATATAGGTATATCATAATAACTTATTTAAATAATCCCCTCATTGTCAGGAAAGACTCTAGAATTTACTCTTATGTGAGTATTCTAACGTGCTCGATGGAGAATTAATTCTACTCCAGATAAACATGTTGGCTTTCTTAGCCTCATAGATCTTCTGCTTAGATTAAGGACCAAAAGCCCAGGAGGAGGGAGAAATCTATAGGACACCCGTCATGCCACTGGATCTATTTTACTATTCTCCTCTGAGCACAAAAGAATTACTGTTCCCATTTTTCTCCATCTGCCATGTTGTATAACTTGTTAAGAGTTTCTAGCTGGGCTACTCTAACATTATTAATTATATCTCCTCTTTAACTTGGGACATTCTCCAGGGTAGGAGTGGTGATCTACCTTCCTATGGCTTATAAGAACCCAAGAGGCATGCAGAATATTAGCAGAATGCTGGGTTTCTGGGGGAAACCATCCTTGTAAATAAACAAAGCCAGAGCTTAACAGAACATTAACTTTCCCTCTGGGGTGTGACCCATGAGTGCTTTCAATAACGTTAGGTAACAGGTTTGTGTCAAGCCCCATCCTGAGAAGTTATTCATGTGAGCTTGCAATCCATTTGCCTCCTTTCCTGTGGTGGAGCAGCCGCTGGCCAGCTGTGCATGGCCACAGTCATAGCATGGGAGCCTTCTCTGCCAGTCATTTTTTTGGCTGGTTTATGTGATCACAAACCTAGTGCTCCAGGTGGCTCTGACCAACTTTATCCAATGATCAAAACCAACACATCAGACTACGCCACAGGGTGGAGGCACATGACTACAGTAGAGCTGGAGAAACGAAGAAACACTTGCTACAGTTCCTGTAGACTTCAGTCTGGCTAGTGTTGTCTCTTGCCTCTTCTTGGATGCTTCCTGGGCTTCAGCCCCTGGAAGCTGCCCCTTCTTTTCTGTTCTATGCAATGTGCCTGGTGCTTTCTCAAGTCACATATGAATGTGGAATTCATTCTGGCTGAAGGTTGGCTTCTTTATCTCCTGATCTAAGCCACAGATGACAGATAGGTTTTCTCCTGGCGGTCAACTGTGATCAGTAGGTTGCAGGTCTCTGGGGATCTGTGCTCAGAAAGATTCTGAGGCTACTCCTGGTCTCAGCAAGAATGTGTATAGTGACCCTTTAGTAAAGTCTGCCCCAGCCGTGGGATAGAGAGTGACTATGTGTGGTAGAATGAGAAGGCCATGCCAAGATGGCCACTGGCAAGCCAGCGTCTGTTACTCAGGAATGGCTTTGAAACCCACCTGGCAACGGAGCCTGCCTGGCAACAGGCTGTGATTGGTTAGGGCATAAACTGCCCCTTGACCGGATTGGCTGCCTTGGCTATTTAAGCTCCTGTACCAACTGAAATAAACGAGTCTGTGGGCTGCTCGCCTCAGGCCTGCTTTCACCCGAATCCTGGGGTCTGTGTGGTGACTCCGTGCCTCTTGCCCCCACCACGCTCCTCCTCTCAGAACAAATCCGCAGCAACAACTATGTGTCTCATATTTTTGATATCACTGTGTGAAGTCAAGGTCTGAGTCTAGTTCCTCTGACAGAGTCTCCTACATGTCTCCCCGCAGCTCCTGGCCCAATGTGTCTTTTCTTGGTTCACGACTCATATAGATGCATCCAATAATCTTCTGACCCTTATCTAAAGAACACATTAAGTCATAGCCCTGGTGCAGGCCTGAAATTATGTAAGGCCTAATTGACACACCTGGAGACAAATTACTTGTGTACTGCCTTCCTGGCTGGTATTATTTGTCCCTCCCCTTTGCTCAAGTCCTGGTGGGTCATTTGGAAATCAGTGGGTTTCCTTCTTCCATACTCCAACTATTAAGGCCATTTAAGGATTATAGATTTACAATATAAAAATAGCATACATATGAATTGACATGACTTTCATCAAGAGAACAGGTGGGCTGCTGATCACACACCAACTCCCATCATGACTAACAAAGGCTCATCCTTTTAATAGGTGTAACCAAGCCAGAATTTATTCATGATTCTTTCCTTGAAACCACAGCGAAGTCTTTAACACTATAGAAATCCTGGTTCCTGAATGAAATCAGTTTGTAGTGGCATTTCAATCTTGCAGGTATCTCAGTGTATTTACCTGTTTTAATGGGAGAATTTTCTGTTCTGTGACTAGAAACCATTTATGCCATGATTTGAGTGTGTCCCCGAATTTCATGTGTTGGAAACTTACTCCTTAAATCCATATATTGATGGTATGTGGAGATGGGGCCTTTGGGAGTAACTGGGGATTAGGTTAGTCACCATGACGGGACAGGCAGCTTTCTTAGGAGAGAAAGCGAAATCTGAGCTGGCACACTCGCTCTGTGTCTCCACAGGATGCCCTTGCCATGTTAGGATGCAGCAAGAAAGCCCTTACCAGATGCTGAGCAGGTGCCAGTGCCACGAACTCCTCGGCCTCCAAAACCGTGAGCCAAATAAACTTCTATTCCTTATAAACTACCCAGTGCCAAGTGTTTTCTTCTAACAACAGAAAGCAGTCAAAGACAGCAGATATCCAGCGTAAGCTGTATATCCACATCTCAGCTTGGAGGGAGATCCGGCTGAGATCCTGCTCACCTCTGTCCTAGGTTCTCAACAGTGACTGGATCGTGATGTAGGCTCGAGGTAATATTTGCAGAGGAGTATCTAGTCTGCGAGTCCCACCCATCCTGGTCTGGAAGAGGAAAGGGGCCCAGAAGGCAGAACTCATCCAGGACGACCCCTCACTGCAAGACCCTTAATGTAATCACACCTGCAGAATGCCTTGAACCACGTAACGTCACAGTTGTCAGGGACTGAGCCATGCACATCTTTCAGGGGCCATCATCCAGAACACCACAGACCCGCACCTTTGGTGCACCTGCTGTTAAAGAAAAGAATCCATTCAAAAGGAACGTTATGGCATCTCCTGGTCCCACGCTGTACCTGTGGGACACCTGATGGAACAGCCCACGGTTCGCTTTGGAAGCTTTGGAATGTGGGTCACGGTTCTCCCCGTGGTAGGTATTTTGTGTTTTTGTCACCCAGGAACCATTTCCTCCTCTGGACTCAGTCAGACTGTCTTGGTTCTTCTCCCAAACCTGCTGCTTACCAGCTGTGTGACCTTGCAGAATTTATTTAAACTTTCTGTGTCTTGGTCTCCTTACATGTAAGATTAAATGTTGGGGCCAGCACTGTGGCAAAGTGGGTAAAGCTACTGCCTGCAGCACCAGCATCACATATGAACGCTGGTTCGAGACCCAGTGCTCCACTTCTAATCCAGCTCTCTGCTAATTTGCCTGGGAAAGCAGCCGAAGACAGCCAAAGTACATGGGCCCCTGCACCCACATGGGAGACCCAGAAGAGGCTCCTGGCTTTGGACAGGCCCAGCCCTGGCCATTGCAGCTATTTGGGGACTGAACCAGCAGATGGAAGGTCTCTCTGTCTCTCTACTTTCAAATATATATATATATAAATCCTTATTTATAATTAATGTTAGTCGTACTTCCAACATGCAGTTGTGAGAATTGAGTTAATGGCTGTAAAGTGTTTTGGACACTGTCTGGCACACAGTTGATGTGTATGATGTTATCACCCCAGCTTCCCCCTGGGGAGACCCCTCTTCCTTTAGTCTAAGTATTTCAGACGGAGCTGACTCTGCTTTTACTTCTGTTTGCGATGTGACATCTTGCCCAAGTCCTCCTGAGCCAGGGGCTTTTCTGGATCAGTGTCTCTAGAAAGCAGACTTCTTGGCCAAGGATGGAGGGTGGTTCTGGAGGGACAATCAACTTCTAGCCAATGCCCCCTGTTTAGTACGTGAACACTTTCCCTTCTGTAACCATAAGTGTTCTAAAATAAAGCCATCCCATAGTATATGCATTCAACATTTCTTTGCAAAAGCCGTTCTGGTCTGGCCTAAAGTGACAAGGCAGAGTGAGTGCTTTGGATGCAGCTTTCCCTGCCCTAAGGCCCACTTCTCTGGCCCGCAGCCTCCAGAGTGCCAGAGCCTGCAGTCTGCTGCCATTTTCTCTCAGTCTGTCTGTGTGTATTTATACCGATTTCCTTCTTTGTTATATTCAAGATTTCATTATTTATTTGAAAGAGTTACAGAGAGAGAGGAAGAGATACATACACACACACACACACACACACACACATATACATTCAATCCGCTGGGACACTCCCCAAATGGCTGCAAGGACCAGGCTGGGCCAGGCAGAGGCCAGGAGCCAGGAACTCCATCCAGGTCTCTCTCGTGGGTGCAGGGGCCCAAGCACTCGGGCCATCCTCCGCTGCTCTCCCAGGAGTATTAGCAGGGAGACGAAGTAGAGCAGCCAGGGCTTGAACCGGTGCCCATATGGGATGCTGGCACTGAAGGCGGCAGTTTAACCTGCTGTGGCCCACAATTTCCTTTACAGTTGTGTCATTACGATTTCAGAAAGGAGAAGAGATAAAAGTCTATTTTCAACCCATTTTCCATAGCCCTCAAGTCTTTGAGGAATCAAAGGAGCTGTGCAGGGAAGCAGAGGGGAGCCTGTCTTCTACAATCCCTGAGCCAAAACGACTGAGGCAGAAATTAAATCCGCAAATCTTAATAACTTTTTGAGCACTTAGAAACCTCATGTATGTCTCTGCGCGAAGTGTCTTCATTCTCAAACAAGTCATCAGTCCGGTGCTCAGGGTGAGTCCCTGGCCTGTGGTCCCTGAGAAGACCGGGCAGGGCTGGGCGGCCTCTGTGAGGGGCGCACTCTCAACACGGCGGCCCGGTGCGCGCCGCCGCAGGGTCGGGCCCGGGGGCTCCCGGCGGGGCCCAGCTCCTGGTCGGGACTGGCGGCGTGGTGCGGCAGGCCGCTGGTTATTTTTCACTTTTGCCCTTGTCTTCCTTTGCTCTCTGCCGGGTGCGAGGCCGAGAGTCGCAGCTCCACAGCGCTCTGCCCGCTGCACCAGCGCTCTCTCCTGTTTTCCGCTGCCGCCATGAGGCCAAAGCCAAAACGAGGAGAAAGGCGCGCGTGAGCCAGTCATCTGGAAATGGCATCCCGGGAGAGCCAGTGGCTGCCTTGAGGTAACACGTCTTGACGTCTGGGGGCCCGGAACGCGCCGTCTGTTCAGAGAATGTTCTGTGAATGTCCCCAGACAGCGTCCCCACGCACCTCTCTCTGCCTCTCTTCACACCCGGACGACTCAGGCTGTAAATGATGGCGCCAGGGGCAGAGCCAGGCCTTGGGAAAGCTAAGGCTCATGCAGCCTGGGAGGAGGGAAGCTCTTCCCTTAGGAAAAAGGCTAAAGAATGAATACGAAATTAAGTATGAAATTGAAATTTCATAAAATGAGAAAAGAAATTACAGCAGCAGTTTAAAAGCTGATACACACTACAAAAATCCAGAAAAAAGTATCATTTCACTCCTTGATTCCTCTCTTTAATAAGTGTATCTATTTTTTAAGCTGCATACCTCTATATTTCTTCATATGACAGCTTTTATAATACCACTTCCTGTAGAAAGGTAATTCAGTCTCTCCTGTAGCATGATTGAATTTTTTTCTATGAAACATTTATTTCCTTTGAAACCTCCAGAACATACCAGAAAATCTTTATAGACAGGGGTAGAATGGGGTGAGAGAAAAATAAAGAACAAAAAATCCAATTCAAATTCAACATATGAAAAAAAATCTGCTACTAACTTCAGCCATCCGATAGGACAACCTCAAATTCAATAGATTTGTTTTGCAGAATTTTTTTAGATATATCTGAAAACAAAACCAGAAATCAGAATTTACACTTGTCAATGTACGTAATTAGGTCCTCAGATGATTACAATGATCTGAAGACTGAGGAGACAACTTAAAAAAATTTTATTTAGGGCCGGCACCGGGGCTCACTAGGCTAATCCTCCGCCTAGCGGCGCCGGCACACTGGGTTCTAGTCCCGGTCGGGGTGCCAGATTCTGTCCCGGTTGCCCCTCTTCCAGGCCAGCTCTCTGCTGTGGCCAGGGAGTGCAGTGGAGGATGGCCCAGGCGCTTGGGCCCTGCACCCCATGGGAGACCAGGAAAAGCACCTGGCTCCTGGCTCCTGCCATCGGATCAGCGCGGTGCGCCGGCCGCAGCGCGCCAGACGCGGCGGCCATTGGAGGGTGAACCAACGGCAAAGGAAGACCTTTCTCTCTGTCTCTCTCTCTCACTGTCCACTCTGCCTGTCAAAAAAATAAATAAAAAATAAATAAATAAAAAAAAAAATTTTATTTATTTATGTGAAAGTCGGAGCTACAGAGGAGAGGCAGAGAGAGAGAGAGAGAGAGAGAGAGGAGAGCACACTTCCATCTGCTTGTCCACTCTCTAAATGGCCCAATGGCCAAGGCTGAGCCAGGCTGAAGCCAGGAGCTAGGAACTCTATCCAGATCTCCCATGTGGGTTGCAGAGACCCACATATTTGGACTACCCTCAGCTGCTTTCTCGGGCATATTAGCAGGGATCAGGATGGGAAGTGGAGCAGCTGGGGCTGGAACCTGTGCTCATATGAGATGCCAGCATTTCAGGTGATGGCTTAAACCACTGCACAACAACGCTGGCCCCAGGATATTCATTTTTGGTTTTGTTTGTTTGCTTGTTTTGTTTCAATTTATTTATTTCCAAGGCAAAGTCAGCAACAATGCGAGTGAGTAATCTTATTGCTTTTTATTTTCAAAGATTTATTTGTTTGAAAGGCAAAGTTACAAAGAGAGAGGGAGACAGAGACAGAGGGATCTTCTATCCACTGCTTCACTGACCCAAATGGCCACAATGGCTGGAGCTGGGCCAATCCGAAGCCCGGAGCCAGGAGCTTCTTCCAAGTCTCCCATGTGGGTGCAGAGGCCCAAGCACTTGTGCCATCTTCCGCTGCTTTCCCAGGTGGATTAGCAGGGAGCTGGATTGAAAGTGGAGCAGCCAGGACTCAAACCTGTGCCCATAAAGTATGCCTACACCACAGGCAGCAGCTTTACCCGTTACACTACAGTGCTGGCCCCAGGATATTCTTTTCTTTTTTTTTTTTTTTTGACAGGCAGAGTGGACAGTGAGAGAGAGAGAGAGAGAGAGAGAGAGAGAAAGGTCTTCATTTTTGCTGTTGGTTCACCCTCCAATGACCGCCGCGGCCGGCACGCTGTGGTCAGCGCACCGCACTGATCCGAAGCCAGGAGCCAGGTGCTTCTCCTGGTCTCCCATGGGGTGCAGGGCCCAAGGACTTGGGCCATCCTCCACTGTACTCCCGGGCCATAGCAGAGAGCTGGCCTGGAAGAGGGGCAACCGGGACAGAATCCGGTGCCCCGACCGGGACTAGAACCCGGTGTGCCGGCGCCGCTAGGTGGAGGATTAGCCTAGTGAGCCGCGGCGCCAGCCGATATTCATTCTTAATGCATGGTTCTTGGAAGGCTGTGCTCAGGGGAGAGGCCCACACAGATCCTGAAGCCGACTCAGGACCACTTGAGCAGGGAATTCTATGTATTCAAAGTACAGGCAAGAACTGGGAATTGAACAGTTCAAGGCAGACCTAGCCCCTTGATCCTGTGGACTTCTCATTCTGAACAGAGGCTGTGGCAGGAAGAGAGCCAGAGTCAGGAGCCTCCATTGCCCAGGTCCAAGGTCAATGCTGATGCCCAACTCAACTTCCCTTTGACCTGCTCTCCAAAACACCCACAGCCACTCCAATTGCACCCAACATGGGGAAAGGTGAAGCCATTTGAAACATGTTACTGGGCCCGTCCCATGACCTCGGAAGGAGTCTGCACACGCGAGAGGTGTGAAGTTTAAGATCTTTGATCTCCAAGTTGGCCTGCCCCTTTGAAGTAGCAGTCATCCAGGGATCTGGCATACTGAATGCACACGAGCCCCCCAGGTTGGACCTCAGCGTTCAAGGCTTGTCCTTATTCAGAAGGAAGGGTGTGAGGGGGTCCCTGTGCTGAGCCTGGGCCTGCCTTCTCAGAATCATTCCACTCCTTCCCCTTGCTCTACTCAGTGGGTGCAGGAAGCCAACGCCCACCTACAGGAGAACTCCCTGGTCTGCCGAGGCCTCTTGTCCGTGGCCCTAGCTCTGCCTGGACAGACCTCTCTGCTTCACGTCTTGCTTGGGTGACCCTGGTCCTGGGTTCCAGCGGTCATCACCACTTCCTCCCTCTGCACTTAGCTCTGCCGTTATGCAGCACAGTTCCCTGAGTTAAGTTCTCTCCGCTTAAACAGGCTTCTGTTTTCCTGGGCACACGCCTCGAGGCCTCCCTCAAAGCATCTGCTGCTTTTCTTTTGCCTATCAGAACCAATCCAGAGTGATTTCTCTCCCATCTCCCCATCATGACTCCTAACTCATTGATTTCAGTTCAGAACTTCAAGTTTTCACAGAGTACTTCTTAATTAACAGACTATTTTATTTTATAATGAGGTCCACCCACGATTATAATATGAGCAAAAGAAAATGCATAGCTTTCTTTTCCGAAATAAAAATAGACCACTCAGTACAATCCAATTCCTGCTATTTGGATTGCATTGTTATAAAAATGCATTTAATTTAATATTACCATAAATAAAAAATGTAGATGAATTTAAACCTGATTAAAAAGTGACAACTTTTGGGACTCTTCTTAATTCCCTGTTGGGCAAAATGGAGTTCTATTTAAGCTTTCCTGTTTTTTTTTTTTTTTTCCAGCATAAAAATAATTAAATTAAATTTTTGGAGTGTCAAAGGGACAAATCAAAGAAAATATATTTGGCTTTCTTTATGTTGTGAGATATTTCACTTCTTAGGGCTACCAAAGCAAAATGGAGCGACTTAAAATAACACACAATTATTGTCTCAGTTCTGGAGGCTGGAAGTCCAGCCTGGAGGTGTGGGCAGGGCCCGGGGAAGGCACCAGGGAAGGAATGGGTCTGCGCCTCTCTTCCGGCATCTGGTAGCTCCAGGCATTCCTTGGCTTGTAGGTGCATCACTGCAGTCCTCCATCTTTGCAGAGGTGTCTCCCTGTGTCTTGACATGTCTTCCCTCTCAGTGTCCACATTTTCACTTTGCGTGTTGGATGGGGGCCCACTCTACTGACCTTACCTATGGAAAGTGATAAGGTCACATCCTTGGGATTTCTGTTTGAATGAATAATCTTTAGTGGACTTGGTCAACAGATACCTATTTAGGCCTCAGGTGATCACTGACGTCATAAATAAGAGTGTCAATTGTTAAATCAACAACAGGAGTCACTGTGCACTTGCTCCTCATGGAGCACCTCTGTCCTCAATGTGTTGTCCTGCCCCTGTGATCCCCTCTCATCCCAAGGCTTCCAATTTGTACCTCAGCCCTGGCCTCTCCCTTGAGAAGCAAACTTTCCTGTCTAACTACTGAATTCATGCTACCACCCGCGTCTCTCTGGGCACCTCAGACTCAGTCTGTGAAATCTGTTTATCCCAGGCTTCTCCATGGCATGAAATGGCCCCGTGTTTGCCCAGGTAGTTGCTCAAACTTGAGATTCAAGATTTAACTCCTCCTCTACTCTTCCCTTCCAGTTATGAACCCTTCCCTGACTCCTCCTGGTCTTGCAACCAAAGTGTATCTTCCATCCTTGCATTTCTCCCCACGTCCACCACCACCCTCTTAGACAACTGCAACAGTCTCCTGAGTGGTCTCTCCATGTATTCTCATCCACCTCTTCTCCACCCAATAACCTTAATTTGCCCAGATTTATCACTCAGTAGAACCCAAACTTCTTACCATGCCTTGGAAGGTCTTTCATAATCTGTCTCCTACCTGTCTTTTATTCTCACCACCAGCCTTCCTTATGTCCCTTGAACACACCCTTCCCTTTCCACCCTGAATCCTTGCTACTTGCTGTTCTCCTCATCTAGAACCCTCTCCCATATTCCTAGATTCCTTCTCACTCTTCAGGACTCAGTTCACAGAGATTTCTTCCTGGTCTATTCTATCTAAAGGGGGCTTCTGCTATATTACTCTGTATCTTGTCACCTTGTTTACTTCCATTGGAGCATCATGGGGATATGAAAGTATGTCTGCTTATATAGATTGTCTACACTTTGTTCATTGCTTTTGTCTCCAAACACCACTCACCCACAAGTTAGGAGCCTGTTTATAATGTTTGTCACGCAGTATGATGCTTTAGGGTGATTTCCGAATACCCACCATCCGTCAAGCAGTAATGCTCCTGAATCCATCCTTCTTTGTTTACATTTCATATTTAATCTCCCCAACAATCCCATCGTGGTGGAATTTCTATCCCCATGTACCGGGATACTGTATTAGGGAGGGTTAGATGACTGGCCCAAGGCCACATGCTCACTACATTGTGATGGATTAGCATTTGAGCCCATACCTGCCTTCTTTCCATGGTGCTACATGGCACTGCCCCTGGTCCTTAGAGGAACCAAAGGGAGCATAGAAAAATCTAACTTACAATACTACTTCTTTTCTGACTTTACATAACCAACTTCAAATATCAACCCTTTCAGGGCCAGCATTGTGGTGTAGTAGGTTAAGCCTCTGTCTGCAACACTGGTATCCCATATAGGTGCTGGTTTGAGTCCTGGCTGCTCCTCCTCTTCTTCTTCTCCTTCTCCTTCTCCTTCTCCTTCTTCTCCTTTTTTTTTTTTTTTTTGACAGGCAGAGTTAGACAGTGAGAGAGAGAGAGACGGAGAGAAAGGTCTTCCTTTTTCCATTGGTTCATCCTCCCAAGTGGCCACTGTGGCTGGTGTGTTGCAGCCAGCGCGCTGCACTGATGCGAAGGCAGGAGCCAGGTGCTTCTCCTGGTCTCCCATGCAGGTGCAGGGCCCAAGGACCTGGGCCATCCTCCACTGCACTCCCAGGCCACAGCAGAAAGCTGGACTGGAAGAGGGGCAACCGGAACAGAATCCGGCGCCCCGACCAGGACTAGAACCCAGTGTGCCGGAGCCACAGGTGGAGGATTAGCCTAGTGAGCCACAGCACCAGCCTGCTCCACTTCTGACCCAGCTTCCTGCTAATACACCTGGGAAAGCAGTGGAAGATGACCCAAGTACTTGGACCCCTGCCACCCACATGGGAGACCTGGAAGAAGCTCCTGGTGCCTGCCTTCAGCATGGCCCAGTCCTGGCTGTTGCAGCCATTTGGAAAGTGAACCAATGGATGGAAGGTTCTTCCCCCCGCCTCTCCTCCTTTTTCTGTAAGTCTGACATTCAAATAAATAAATAATCTTTTAAATAATCAACCCTTTGGTAATTTGGTAGACAAATATTTATTGGCCCATGATCCTCTCATTTGGGAAATCATTTTCTCCTTGCCGTAGGGAAACTGCTTAGCCATATGATGAAAGGGGCATGAACACAGCTCCATCCTCCTTTTTATTCGAAATCTTTTATGTAATAAATATAAATTGCCTAGGTACAGCTTTAGGAATATAATGGTTCTTCCCCCCTTACCCTCCCTCCTACCTCCACTCCCATCCTATTCTTCGTTAAGATTCAGAAGATCAACTCTATACTAAGTAAAGATTTCAACAGTTTGCACCCACACAGACACACAAAGTATAAAGTACTGTTTGAAAACAAGTTTTATAGTTAATTCTCATAGTACAACTCATTAAGGAGAGAAGTCCTACACGGAGAGCAAGTGCACAGTGACTCCTGTTGTTGATTTAACAATTGACATTCTTATTTGTGATGTGAGTGATCACCTGAGGCTCTTGTCATGAGCTGCCAAGGCTATGGAAGCCTTTTGGGTCCACAAACTCCGTCAGTATTTAGACAGGGCCATAAGCAAAGTGGAAGTTCTCTCCTCCCTTCAGAAGAAGGAATATCCTTATTTGATCGCCCCTTCTTTCCACTGATATCTCACTCACAGAAATCCTTCATGTAGATCATTTTTTTGCCACAGTGCCTTGACTTTCCATGCTGGAAATGCTTTCATGGGCTTTAAGGGCTGATTCTGAGGCCAGAGTGCTGTTTAGATCATTTGTCATTCTGTGAGTCTGCTGTGTGTCCTGCTTCCCATGTTGGGTAGTTCTCTCCTTTTAAAATCTATCACTTACTATTAGCAGACACTTGGTCTTATTTGTGTGATCCCTTTGACACTTAATCCTATCTCTGTGATCAGTTATGAAGTTAAACTGATCACTTTAACTAGTGAGATGGCATTGGGGCCTGCCAACTTAATGGGATTTGTAGCTATTGTGAATGGGATTGATCTTAAAAGTTCTTTCTCAGCCATGGCTTTGTCTCTGTATCTATAAAGGCTGTTGATTTTTGTGTATTTATTTTATAATCCTGCTACTTAACCAAACTGTTCTGTGACTTCCATTAGTCTCTTAGTGGAATTCTTTGGATCCCTTATATAAAAAATCATGTTGTCTGCAAATAGGGATCGCTTGACTTCTTCCTTCCCAAGTTGTATCCCTTTGATTTCTTTTTCTTGCCTAATGCCTCTGACTAAAATTTCTAGTACTATATTGAACAGCAATGGTAATAATGGGCATCCCTGTCTGGTAGTGGATCTCAGTGGGAATGCGTCCAGCTTTTCCCCATTGAATAGGATGCTGGCCATGGGTTTGTCATAAATTGCCTTGATTGTGTTGAGGAATGTTCCTTCTATATCCAATTTGCTAAGAGTTTTCATCATGAAGGGGTGTTATATTTTATCAAATGTTTTCTCTGCATCTATTGAGATAATCATATAGTTTTTATTTAGAAATGTGTTAATGTGGCATATCACAATGATTTGTGAATGTTGAACCATCCCTGCATACCAGGGATAAATCCCACTTGGTCTGGGTGGGTGATCTTTCTGATGTGTTGTTGAATTCTATTGGCTAGAATTTTGTTGAAGATTTTTGCATGTATGTTCATCAGGGAAATTGGTCTGTAATTCTCTTTCTCTGTTGCATCTTTTTCAGGTTGAGAAATTAAGGTGATGTGGGGCCGGCGCTGTAGCTCAGCAGGTTAACACCCTGGCCTGAAGCGCTGGCATCCCATATGGGCGCCAGTTCGAGACCTGGCTGCTCCACTTCCCATCCAGCTCTCTGCTGTGGCCTGGGAAAGCAGTGGAGGATGGCCCAGGTTCTTGGGCCCCTGCACCTGTGTGGAAGATCTGGAAGAAGCTCCTGGCTCCTGGCTTCGGATTGGCTCAGCTCCGGCCATTGCGGCCATCTGGAGAGTGAATCAGCGGATGGAAGACTTCATTCTCTGCCTCTCCTCTCTCTGTGTAACTCTGACTTTGAAATAAAATAAATCTTTAAAAATAAAAAGACTATAACAGCAGTTTAAAAAAAAAGAAATTAAGGTGATGCTGGCTTCATAGGATTTCCTCCCTTTAAATTGTTTTGAATAGTTTGAGAAGAATTGGAGTTAGTTCTTCTTTAAATGTCTGTTAGAATTCAGCAGTGAGGCCGGCACAGCGGCTTAATAAGCTAATCCTCCACCTTGCGGCGCCGGCACCCCGGGTTCTAGTCCCGGTCGGGGCACCGGATTCTGTCCCGGTTGCCCCTCTTCCAGGCCAGCTCTCTGCTGTGGCCAGGGAGTGCAGTGGAGGATGGCCCAAGTCCTTGGGCCCTGCACCCCATGGGAGACCAGGAAAAGCACCTGGCTCCAGCCTTCGGATCAGCGCGGTGTGCCAGTCGCAGCGTGCCAGCCGCAGCGGCCATTGGCGGGTGAACCAACGGCAAAGGAAGACCTTTCTCTCTGTCTCTCTCTCTCACTGTCTAACTCTGCCTGTCCAAAAAAAAAAAAAAAAAAAAGAATTCAGCAGTGAATCCATCCAGTCCTTGGCTTTTCTTTGTTGGGAGGACCTTTATTACTGATTTGATTTCTGTCTTGGTTATGGGTCTGTTTAGGTTTTCTGTGTCTTCATGGCTCAGTTAGGTAGGTTGTATGTGTCAAGTTCTAGTCTCTGCTGTCCTTTTCTGATCCAGCTCTCTGCTGTGGCCTGGGAAGGCAGTGGAGGATGGCCCAAGTCTTTGGGCCCCTGCACCCGCATGGGAAACCGGGAGGAAGCACCTGGCTCCTGGCTTTGGATTGGGGCAGCTCCAGCCGTTGCGGCCATTTGGGGAATGAACCAATGGAGGGAAGACCTTTTTCTCTGAGTCTCTCTCTCTCACTGTCTGTAACTCTGCCTGTCAAATAAATAAAATCTTTTTTTAAAAAAATAGGCTTGTGTGGAGAAAGTCATACCAGTGACTGTCCCACCCAGAAAGTTGCAGTAGCCAATGGCTGTGGCTGGCCCCTTTTCCTCAAGGTGCGACCAATTCGCTGGGGGTCAGGCAGAGGCTCGGCTGCAGCTGGAGTCCCTACCCTGGCCAAGCTTGGTCTCCTGCCCGCTCCTCCTCCCCTCCTCCTCTCTCCCCTGGGTGCCTGCCTTCGCCGAGTCACGTGTGCACCAGGCTCTGCCTTGGGTCCAGCTCTAAAACAGTGAGTAACTCTGACTCTCTACAGCTAACGTTCTGGTTCATGCAGCAAACGTGCTGTACGCACTCTGTCCGTAGCGTAGATTCAAGTTGAAGGGTCAGTTTGCGCATGTTTAACCACATGTGTAATCAATTGTTAACTATATCAGAGTGGTTTTTTAAATCTTTAAATATTGAAACCATAGTGACTGGGATTATGAGAGAGAATAAGAATATATTTGAAGGCAAAACCTTTGACCCACTTGGATAATATTTATTGTTCCTTATGTTTTCTGAAGTCTCTTGAGGTGTAATTATTTTCTAATTCCTTTCCTCATTTCATTGTGAAGAGAAATCCAAGCCCAGCATTTGGAATTCTCCATGTATTTCGGCTGAGATTATCTCATCTCCAGTTTGATGATTAAATTCCAGTGAGCATGTTGTCTACAGTCTCTTATAGTTTCAGTAACAGAAAAAATCAAAATACTTCCACACTGACACAATTATACTAAATGTATTAGTATAGGAACAATTATAATAAAATGATGGTAAAATGTTCAGGTGCACCCAGCATCAGCCATGGAATAATACTTCCCTTCTGCCATAGTTAACTACTTTCTAGAGGTAAAGACCCGGATACCACCAAGTCTTGTTTTCTCCATGCTTAGACTCTAAGGATTGTGGTTGTTCTCTCCATCACGTCTGTAAACCCTAACTGGCTTCAAGCAGGAGGGCCAAGATCCACGCTCAGAATCCCGGGTTTCAGAAATCCTTCCTAGCCTGGGCAGCAGCTCAGATTCCTGCGTTTGCTCGGGCATGGACTTGACCGCTCTGTTCGTGTCATTGATCTGTTCAGCAGGACCCTGTCCTCAGTCCCTCTGTATTCCATTGTGCTCCACTGGCTTGTTAAGAGTGAACACTGTGGGCCCTGTGGTTTGAAAATAAACTCTCATACTCCCGGGCTGGCATTGGGCTCTTCTGTCCAAACAGAAGAGCTGGGAGATGATTGGACACAGGTTTATTTAATACTTTTTTTTTAATTCGTTTACTTATATGAAAGGCAGAGAGCGAGAGGGAGAGAGCAACATCTTCCGTCCACTGGTACACCCCCCAAATGCTGGCAACAGCAGGACTAGACCAGGCTGAAGCCAGGAGCCCAGAATTCAAAGTCCCACCTGGGCCGATATCTGCTGTTTCTAAGGTGCAGTAGCAGGAAGCTGGATCAGGTAAGCAGAGTAACTGGGCCTGGAACCGGCACTCCTAAATTGGTTTCAGGTGTCCCGAGAAGCGGCTTCAACTGCTGTGCCAGCAGGGCTGGCCCTGCTTGTTTTCTTGCGTTAGATTGCTCCTCTTTTCCTGAAAGCTCGGGGTACTGCTCAGAAACCTTCTTAATTAGCACCGCTTAGGGCCACAAGAGGAGGGATTGGGAGAAGGGAAATATGGGAGAGGAACAGATTGAAGAAGAGGAAGGAGGAGAAAGCAAGGCTGTTGGTTTTGAGTTCTGATCTGACCTGTTATAATTTTGCAAGTGCTGTTGCATTTCTCCCAGTGTGCCTGGTTTGAATCCCAGCTCTTCTGCTTTTTATCCAGCTCTATGCTAATGAGCATCCTGGAAGAGAGCAGGTGATGGCTAACACACTCGGGTCCCTGCCGCCCACATTGGAGACCCAGATGAAGTTCTGGGCTCCTGCGTTCAGCTTGGCCCAGCTCTGGCCGTTGAAGGCATCTCTATCTCTCTGCTTTTCAAATAAAACAAAAATAAATAATTTTTAAAAAAGAAAAGTTTAGTACCTTGCCCAAGATCATGCAGCTAGTAACTGACATAAATAGGAATATAACCCAGGTATCACTCAGAAGGGAGCGAAATGTATAGAAATCAAATTATGAGATTATGTTATTTTTCTTATATTTGAGGCTTTTTTTGTGTTGTTTTGCATCTGGGTAATTTTCTTAGAATGAAAGGATATTATATTCTGTAATTTTTAATATTTTCCCAAAAATGATAATAGCAGAATACATATGCTTTAATACTCAAATTTCCCAACATGATCAAACCAAGAACCGTGTTCGCAAAATCATTTGAGAGTTTCAACAGTTTTCCCAAAAACCTCTCCTAAGCCTCTGATATTCAAATAATTTTCTCTTGAAGTGCTGTGCAGTTGACTTAATTGTATTTGTATTGTAGACTCAGACCATTAGCAAGAGACTGCTCTGAGCAAGCAGGGTATACAAGGACAAGCACTGGCACTATGAGAGCCGTCTCATTAGAGTGGGGACTCATTTGATAATATTAGTGATATTTTCATCTTAAGATGACCTTTTCTTGCCCATGCACCCTGGCAACTGCAGGGATTTGGGTCATAAAGGCTGACATAATGACAACCGCCTGGCACCACGCACGTATTAACTGTGCTGCCTTTTTCAGAGACTGGCCTCAGCTTAGCGGATTAGATGAGGGCGTTCGGTGAGTCACTGAGGCAGACAGACTCTCGGGGGGCCCACAATGATCCCTGTGCCTGGTGTTCATGCTCTTGATTGTTTCTCCCTGCTTTGGGGGGGGGGGGCCGTGAATTGCTTTGAAGCAGCAGGCGATGGGACAAATGCGAGTGTACGTGTGCTACAGAAGATCGCGACGTCATCCTTGCTAACAGCCTCCTCCTTGCTGGCCTTGATAAAGGAAGTCTGGTTGCTGTGAGTTGGGGAGACCTGTGTGGTCGGGACTGAGGGTGGTCTTCAAGAAACCAGGGCCCTCAGTGCAATAAGTCACGAGGAACTGCACTCTGCCAGCAGTCGTGACAGTGCTGGAGTGGGCCCTTCCCCAGTCGAACCTTGAGATGAGACTGCAGCCTGAACAGACTGGGATTGACCCTGGGGACAGAGGTGGGGCAGAGGGAGATCTTCCATCCTCTGGTTCACTCCCCATCCTCTGGTTCACTCCCCAGATGGCAGAGCTGCATCGATCCGAAGCCAGGAGCTTCCTTTGGGTCTCCCACGTGGGTGCAGGGGCCCAAGGACTTCGGCCATCTTCTACTGCTTTCCCAGGCCATAGCAGAGAGCTGGAGCAGAAGTGGAGCAGCCGGGTCTTGAACCAGTGCCCACATGGGATGCCAGCAGTGCAGGCAGTGGCTTTACTCACTACGCCACAGTGCTGGCCCCATGAACATACTACCTTTAAGCCATGCAACTTCCTGAGGCTTGAGATGATGCCACTATTCCCTGTAAAAACAAGAACATGCTCACCCTAGCCTCAAAAAACACATACCCAAAGTCTGGGTGGCTCCTGAATCTGGTTTCAAGTCCAGGATTTCTGGGTGGTGGTGGTTCCTCCAAAAGCTTAATAACAAGCCCGTCATGTTATTCTATCACCTCTGGACTAGCTGTAAGGTTAATCATCATCGATATAGACTATATCATTTATACACACAGACACACACACACACACACACAGTCTGCTATATTAGATAGAAGGAGAAAATTCAAGGAAATTAAATAGAAAAATTAACTGCATGTAAATGTACTTGATACAGCAAGGAAGATCATATTAGCAAACACTGCCTTCCAGGTTGATTTATCTATGACGGGTCCTCAACACTTTCAAGGAAAATGTGTACTATAAAAACAGCTAGGCATGGGTTTCACAATGGTTTGCTGCAAAATAAACAGTTCTCTCTTTTTTTAAAAAAGATTTATTTATTTACTTGAAAGGCAGAGTTACAGAGAGAAAGAGAGAGAGGTCGAGAGAGAGAGAGAGAGCTTCCATCCGCTGATTCACTCCTCAAATGGCTGCAATGGCTGGAACTGGGCTGATCTGAAGGCAGGAGCCAAGAGCTTCTTCCAGGTCTCCCACATGGGTGCAGGGGCCCAAGGACTTGGGCCATCTTCTACTGCTTTCCCAG